CGCCATTCGTCCGTGTTCTTTTTCTGTACTAGAACTGGGTTTGCTAGCCAATCTAGATGAAAGATTTCTCTGATGAATCCGGCTGTCATTAGCTTTGTGATTTCTTTTTTAATCGCTGCCTTCTTGTCAGGTGAGAATCGTCGTAGCCGTTGCTTTACAAGCTTGGAGCCTTCATTGATATCAATTCTATGCTCAGCCAACTCTCTTGGGACACCTGGCATGTCGGCCGGCTTCCAAGCGAAGATATCTTTGTTGTCCCGAAGAAAGTTGGTGAGCGCGAGTTCCTATTTTGCCGAGAGGTGGGCGCTGATGGTTGCTGTCTTGGAGGGATCGCCAGTGCCCAGGTCAATTTGCTTGACGTCGACTTCTTTTGGTGGTGCGAGGATGCTGGGCTTTTTAGCCGGTATCTCTAGTTCTTCTTGGCTTATTTCTGCGGCAATAGTGGCTATTTCTTTTCTACCATTGTCGGCTTGTGCTTTGGCTGCGATTTGGATTGCCTGAACGTCGTAGTCAAAAGCGCGCTTCAAATCACTTCGAAGAGAAAGGACACCGTTAGGTCCTGGCATCTTAAGCAGTAGGTATGGATAATGCGGTATTGCCATGAATTTTGCTAGCGCTGGGCGCCCGAGGATTGCATGGTATGATGAATCGAAGTCCGCAACCTCAAACTTGATGAACTCTGTACGGTAGTTCGAGGGAGTTCTAAAAGTAACTAGTAGAGTAATTTGTCCAAGTGGCATGGCTGCCTTGCCGGGTACTATGCCATAAAAAGGTGTACTTGTTGGTGTAATCATCCCGGCGAGTTGTATTCCCATCTTCCTTAGCGTTTCTGAAAAGATGATGTTGAGTCCGGCTCCCCCGTCGATTAGTACTTTGGTGACAGTCATACTGGCAATAGTTGGATCTAGAACCAGTGGGTAATGGCCTGCGTTTCCTACGCTAGTCCATTGGTCTTCTCTTGAAAATTGGATTGGATACTGTGACCAATTAAGATATCTTGGAGTAGCCGGTTCTGCTGCCATGATAGTTCGTAGTGCTAATTTTTCTTGATGTTTGCTTCTAGAATATGGGGCCCCGGCGAAGATCACTGCTACCGTCCCCCTGGATTTTTGGAATCCCTTGTCTTCGTGGTTGTTCTCATCTTTTTTCTGATTGTCTTCTTTGGTGTTCTCCTTACTATCTTTTCTTGTGTATCGATCTTTGAAGGTGTAGCAATTTCCGATGGTGTGCTTTCCATTATGGTGTAAGATACAATGCATGTTTTCAATGTCGTCATATCTTCTGGGTTTGTAAAACTTATTTGATTTGTCAGCCATCGCCACGGTGTTGTCTGGTCCACGTTTTCTTTCCTGATGTCTGCTATTTCGATGATTTTGCTTGTTCGGGTTGTCTCAGTTGCTTCTATCCGGGAACCTTTCTCGTGTCTTCTCTTCTGCAGTAATCATCTTTTCTACTGTTCATCTGAATTCTTCATTGTTTCTCGGATTTTCTTTGCAGAAGTCTTGAAATTGCCACCTAGCCATGATTCCGTGAGAGAAAGCTTCAATTACTTCTCGTTCGGTGATGTCATGTACTTGAGCTCGTAGTTCGCCGAATCGTCGATAGTAATCTCTGAGACTTTCACCTCCCTTCTGCTTGAGTTCTTTTAACTCTGCGTGGGTGATTGGGTGTGTAATGATACCTACGAAATTTTCACAAAAAGCTCTTTGCAAGTCCTCCCAATTTCTAATTAATCCTGGATTCAATTTGTCGAACCATTGGAGAGGCATGGTTTCCAGGGCCATGGGAAAGAACAAGGTCTTGATATCGTCGTCTCATTCGGCTAGTTCAATCGATTGCGAATATATCCTGAGCCACTGCCTTGGTTCAGTCTTGCCATCACATTTAGAGTGGTTGGACGGTTTTAACTTTGAGGTAGTCGTATCGATGCAAGTCTATTTGCAAAACAGGGGAATCTATAGTGCGTTCCGGCTTATTTGAATTCTAATTCGGCACCTCCTTCTGGCCAACTGTTGTTTTGATGAGAGTAATCCTGCGAGGCTGTCTGGGTAGGCGTCCTGCTTCTGGTCTTTCTTGGTTGTTCAACTCGGTGGCTCTGACTATGGCCCCTTCTACTTTCTCTGTTATGACTTCCACTTGGTCCAAGTCTCTCGAAAGCGGACTTTCTTTGATTTTGATCTTCTTGCCTACGGGTCTTGATCTGGCAGGTAGTCTTGAGTGGGTCCTTTCTTCGTGCGTCCTCAGGGCTGCTGACCGGAGAAAATCCCGGAGCTGTTCTTGTTTTTTCACTAGGATGTGAGGTCGCTCTGAGTTCTTCTAATGCTTCTCGGATCTTATCGTAGGGTGTATTTGCCGTGCGTCTTTCTTTGACTTCTTATTGTGATTTTCTTCTATCGTACTCGGCCAATTCTGACTCATATCTGATCCAAGCTTCCTTGCACTGCCTAGCACGGTGTTGGCATCCTTGCTTCAACTTGTTTTTTTCTTTCTCTGGCTTGTTTCTGATTCTCGGTCTCACCATCGTAGCCCTAGGCAAAGGGTGATATGTTGGATTCTGATTCATCCGATGACCTAACATCGGGTGCTTCTGGGGGGACCAATGGTGATCGAGGACGGCGAACCATGAGTACTTCCCGTGCATGAATTGTTCTATTATTGGCGTTAGTTTCCACACTGTCGGAGTTGCTGATAACTTTAGTAGAGGCCTCGAGGTCGTAGATCGAGTCTCCTTCTTGGTAGGGTAGAATTGTCGTTGTTATCGTGTCGACCAGTCGGGTACTGCTATCCTCAGGAACAGAGTCCGGCCAGTGGACGATGCAGTCTTGAGATGTTATAGTTAGTACGAGACCTTCCTGAGCTCCCTTCAAGTACACACCTTGATGCAATCAATCATGCAGAAACATAGATATATTGCTTAATCCATTTTTGTTGATATCTAAGTGCCAAAACGGCATTGTCTATCATCGTTTCCGACTTAGAAAGAATAAGAACTTAGCTAGAACTAACAACCTTTAGCGTTTTTGCTATAATTTTTACTATACCTAAACCTAATTAATTCCAACCACTGCACATTTCACACAGTAGTCCATACGTCATACTAACTCATAGAAACAAAACATTTAGGAACTACTTAACTAGTTGTTTAATATTATTCGTCAAAAATGATACTTTTAACACCACTTCCAAATTTTGCCGATTCAACAGAAGAAAAAAAAGAGAAAGAGAGAGAGGAAGAAGAAAGCGGCAGGGACAAGAATGTCATTTTACCGCTGTTATCTCTCCTCAACCGACTGTAACCAATCCGCGGTGTCCTGTGATCTAATTTCATCGAATCAGAGTGTCTTCTAATAAAATACTCTAAAGTGGATGTCCGTCAATAAAGGACCATGGATTTGGATGTCAACGGACAATTCTCCCAAGATAAAAAGGCGGTTCAATCATGCAGGTCGAGACCCCAGGCAGCAACGGAGAGAATCTGGCGAGCAGAGCAGCCAGAACACCGCATCACCCTCGGGGCATCGGGCATCGGGCATCAGCAGCCATCATTCGCTACGACGGCGAAGGAGAATCCTTCTTCCCATCGCATCGCACTTCCCAGTCGCCACCATGCACGGCTAGTGGGATTCCACCGCGTCGCCCCACCACACCAGGGCACCAGGCAACACCAGCACGCTGCCCACGAGAGAGAATCGGCTAGAAAAAGCAAGCAGACAAGATCAGAAATTCCCCCACCTGACCTGAGTGAGAACTACAAGGCGTCCGCACTTCCACCCAGTTAAAAGTTAAAACCGAGATATTCGGTTCGGTTCGATCTCCTGGATCTGAATACCCAAACGCGATCACACACCGACCACCACACCAGAGACCTCGCGGAGAAACGGTGCTCGTGAATCATATCGAGCACCAAGCCTGGTAGCCAGTAGCCACTGCCGATCTAGTGATGAGGGCACTGGACACTGGAGGGCTCGCCCTGCCCGTGCAATGCGTGCGCACTGCCTGGTGCCTGCCACCGTTCTGGGAGGCGAGAGGAACCTCGTGTTGCACCGGGAATGATTGCCGGGTCACAATGCATTCCATCATTTCTCGCGCTCATGGCCGTCCGAGCAAGCCACAAATACGCTTTGCTTCCTGTCCTGGAAGAAAAAGTGTCTGGATCCATTATTCATTCATCGTCCAGTTCTGTGCATTCCAGCTCATAGACTCAGACACACTTTTTTTTAAATTTATTTCTTGGAAATTATACTCGGTCACATAATACTCAGCTGCAGACAGAGGAGATCATTCCTTCACCCAGTCACACTCATCATGGGTTCATTCGTATTCGATGCGCCGGACCTTTCTTCTTCATCACATGTCCTAGCTGTACTGCTCCGCCTTGTGGCTACAGAAATGTGCACTCTTCCTCCTCCAAAAAGAAAGTGTTCGACCTTATTATAAAAAAAAAGTGGGGCGAAAAAAGCTCAACCTAAAGAAGCTCAACAGAACAGCTTTGTTGCTGAGATAAAAAGGGGCACACACACATGTGCAATGATTCTCCCATCAGACATAACATAACCACCGTACTTCAACGCGGCAAACATGGGCGGCGTCTGCAGATCATATGCCAGGAACCATGATGACCGGTGACCAACCATGTTGGAACTGTAAAACCAGAGCTAGCAAGGCTCCATCATGCGAGTCAAGCTTCATTTTCACCTTATAATAACGCAAGTACCCATGCTGCCAAGCACATGCACTACAGCTCGAAAAGCTCGAAAACAATCCATTCAGATTAAGGGCGGAATCTCTTGCACATTACACAAATGGCACCTACCGTGGTGCCAGCAGCAGGTGAAACATAGATGCTTAGAGGTCCGGTTCCAGGTTAACAGGAAGCAGAATACAACCATGAGTAAACAACAAAATGCAAAAGCATCAAACTAAAATCCTAGGGCCAAATGCAACTCTCCTCTTGTGCATTTCCAGCTCCGGACTGTTCCATTGCTTCTACGGTGTCTATTTTACTCGCAGGCCAATTTGGTGTCAAAGCTACTCAAGCAGATGGCGAAAGCCTGGAAGGCTGAGAGCGGGTAGCGGTAGTCCATCGTGAACATATCCTTGGCCACCTTACCAAACTGGAGAATGATCTTATCTTGGTCTTGCGGAGCAGGTTGTGATGGGGTTGGAGCCCCAGCGGCGGCAGGGGCAGGGGCCTGGCTTGGCGCAGCGATCAGCTGGAAATTCTTCACCGAGGCAATGGTTACACGGCCACGGAAGTTGAGGCACCAGCACTGCAGCTGCTCGTGCCATCTTGGGGCCTTGTTGCGGAGCACGAGCGGCCTCTCCTTATTCTGTCCCTCTTCGTCGCCAGCCATGGCGCCTCCGGCAATGTCAGAAAAGCGGGCGCTGCTGAAGTCACGGGAGCTGCTGAAGTCCATGGACCGGTCCATGATGGATGACTTGGAGAAGGAGGTGGTGCTGCGAAAGGACTCCTCTAATGCCCGGGGCAGAATCTGCTCAGGCTGTCCAGGGACTATGCCACTGGCTCAACTGCGGAGGCAGGTATGGAGTGCATGACGCAGTGCATCCGCCTAGGGCCTCTCGTGCCAAGAACATTTAGCTCATATGTCACCTGAGCTATGTTGTAGCTACCAGTTGGCACCTTAGGGGAGACCTTCTTTGAGTTGAATCTTCGGCTTGTCCGGCCAACGTGAGGGACTACAGCCCCACTATAAGGGGGCTGCGTGTCAGAGATCATAAATTTTGTGCCGAGGAAGTTCGACCTGGAAATGACAAGAAATACCTCAATTAGCTGATACAATTAAATAAACCAGACAAAGAAAAGAAAGGCTACCCATTCACTTGCATTTCAATTCTATTACCTCAGCTTTCCAATATATGTGCTGCTAGATCTCGATATGTTGTCAGCATCCATAGAGATAATATACTCCGTGCAGGTTGTTTTGCGATTCCTTTTAGCTGATAAGAGGAACTTGCCATTCTCCATAAGTACAGCTGATCCAGAAAAAAAAAGGAGTCAACAATTGCATTCCAAATTGAAGAAATGTTGACAGAAATGATGGAAAGACAGGCAGAACAGAGGACCAGAATGTCGACTTGATGCTAGCAGATATTTGCCAAAATATCAATCATCGTAGGAATTCAAAAAACAATTTAAGATCTACTCATACAAGCAAAAGAAAGGCACAACATACCAGTGCTCAGGCACAAGTAGAGATGATATGTGGACTTTGATTTATCTCGCTTTATGAAACACTGAATCATTCCATCGCGAGGCCCAGGCTGTGAAGGCAAACATTATCAAATGTTAGTAATAATATGAAAGACATAAGAATAAGTATTGTGAAGTGCTATCATTAGGTACAAAATATCATTCACAAAAGCATTCAGGTAATCAGGTCAAGGATTAAGATTTAAGCATACCTGCTTTAGAGAGACTGGGAAGGTAAGCTTCCCACTGAATTCCGGGCTCAACACAATCTCCCGGCACATCTCCCTCCATGCCCGACAAACAGCAGCGCAGGACACAACATGCTTGCGATTTGGCCAGGTGCTCTCACTGGCCTCCAGCCTCTGGATCACATCACGGAGGAGCTCAGGAGGGAGATTAGCCCAACGGCTCTCCTGGATTATGAGATCCATATCATGGAGTTCATGCACCGTGCTCTGAGATTTCCCCCTGTGATGCACGGTGAGCCCAGAAAGGCCAGCGACAGTCACCTCAAAGCTGCGCCTTGACAGGCTACCAAAACTGTCCCGAACATCACGAACGATGCTGCGGAACGACATCTTCGCCAACTAGAACAGCACAGTAAAGCCTACAAGAAACTTGGGGCTTAGCCTGCCAATATATAACGGGGAAGGTTCCGACAGCCTTCGTGGCTGCTCCACTGATAGAACAGTGGAGATCACGCCACCCCACAGGGGAAATGCTGCTTTTGAGTGTGCCTACACAGAAGCAAACGCCGATTGGGACCTGCGCGAAGAAAAGAATCTTAGATGTGAAAGCGTGTGAATAATAGCATAGCGTAGAGCTAGCGACACATGTTATGATTATTAATAGATCAATTCCACGTACAGCTCATCACGATTGAACACACGGGCGTCTCCGAGAGTAAAAAAAAATGATATCACAACAGAATTTGTGGAGTGCAGCTGCGAGAGAACAGAGAAGGGCAAGAACATTTTAATTCCGGATAAGTCACATCAGTGCATCACACACCAACCATTCTGGAGGCATGTTGCAACATTTCGAGAAAGAAACGTCGGCCCTCGTACGGCCAAACCCAGTCCTAGGCTAGAAATTAGGCGCTCCGTAGTCAAAAGATCAAAAGGAACCCTTTTTCCCCCTGATTCATCAAAGGTGGGAGTAGATAAAAAGGAGAGACTTTTTAAGGAACAAATCGAGTAACAAATCGACGGGCTACAAAAAATCGAAAGGCATGGACACAAGATCTAACACTAACGGGTCTGCAACGGAAGCAGCGACAGCAGCAGGCTAGCTCTAGACAACACGGGTACAGAACGGTCTCTTCACCGGCACTACTAATAAGCGGAATAGGAGACAGAGTCGCCCCCAAGAACATTTCTACAAACATCCGGACGAGAAATCGCGCAGAAAAAAACGACGCTTCTTCTCACATCACATCCCTACCGCGGGAAATGGACGCATCAGGAAAATCAAGACGGTAAGCCCACAAATCGGAGCACCGCTCTCGGGGGAGAGGGAGAACTCACATCAGGGCGTGCCGGAAGGACGCAAATCACCCGATCCGGAGCCTTCCTCCCTCCGCGTCCTTCGGAAGACAGATCGAAGCGCAGGTGGCTCAGATTCCTTCACCGGGGTTAGCTCTTCCCACCTCTGGGCGGCTTCCCTTTTGACCACGCGACGAGGGCCGGCCGACCGAGGGAAGGAACGACGGGAGGGTGGAAGTGGGTGTGGTGACTGGTGAGGGAGACGGGCGGAGACCCGGTGCGAACCAGCGAGCGAGGAGGGGAGGGAGACAGACCAGCGAGGAAGCCGAGAGAGAGGGAGGGGAGGGGAGGGGATCAGGGGAAGGAAGCGCACGAGCCGTGTGTTGTTTATTACGGACGGAGTACTGCTCCGCTCCGGTCCACGGTGGGGGGCGGGCGGGGGTTGACCATCCCGTTCCGTTCCGTTACGTTTGTGGGTACTGCTAGTACAGAAGCAGGCGGGTAGGGGGCCGACCAGCATAACGGCGTCAAGTGTGCGGCAGGCCCGGGCCGCCCGAGCCGCAGAAAGCGGGTCATCCTTTGGTTGGTTCGTTCCCGCCGTGGCAGGGACAGGGTCACAGGGAGGAGGGAGCACGGGTGACAGCGGCTGCACGCTTACGTCGCTGCTGATGTGCACGTCAAGGCGTAATCAGGGTTACGATAAACGTTTGTACATTACTAGTTCTGTGAGCCGAGTACGACACATTGTTGACTTGTTATCCTGTGAGTTAGTGTAGAACTTATTCATTTAAATTCAAGTTTTTGACTTGATGAATGTACTTGTGTTTTTCTAGATTTTTTTTTTTCAAAATGTAAAGGTGTTATTTAATAGATGACGTGCTTGTTAGTATCGAGACGGTGTCTTTATGACTTCTTTAATCTTAAGATTTGTTAATCCAACTTAGTCTTTCACGTGTGCTCATAGACGTAGACTGTGTATTGTTTGTCGAGGTGCTCATATATGGTGCGATAGGAGCAGTTTCCCTAGTAACATTAATTTTCTCAACCAATATTAATATTTTTTGTCATGACTAACCGGCAACTCTAGTTCATCCAAACTTCAAAGAAGAGGATCGTTTTTCTTTTGTACTATACTATTTGGTGTTTTGGATATGATGTATTTGAGGTGGCTGAGCTCGACTGCTTGCCGCTGGGAAAGGCAGGAGACTGAGGTGGTGTTTAAATTCAGGGAGTAAAGTTTAGCGATGTCATATCGGGGTATCACATAGGAGTGTTCGGATGGTAATAATAAAACAAATTACAGAAGTCCTCAGTAATCCGCGAGACAAATTTATTAAGCATAATTAATCCATCATTAGCACATGTACTGTAGCAACACATTGTCAAATTATGAAATAATTAGGCTTAAAAATTCGTCTAACAAATTAGTCGCTGTGTAATTAATTATTTTTTAGTTTATATTTAATATTTCACGTATATGTCTAAACATTAAATGTAATAGAGAATAAACTCTCGGGAGAAACTAAACAAGATGGAGGCGAGCACCGGACAGAGCCGGACCGCGGGTCATATTTCCAAGTCAAAGTCTTTTCACCGTGCTGATGGCGCAAGTAATCCTCGCAGGTTTTACGGTTTTACCGTGGCGCGAGGCTAGAGATCAACGTTAGCTTTGTTCTCTCCCGTTCCCGTGTCAGTGTGTGTGGGTGCTTTCCGTTGCAGCTTTTGATTCGTCATCGATGCCGCCGCCAACCCTTTCTGCCGGTGGCGTAAAAATAAATGCACGGCGCTGACGAGTCTGCCCCGCTGCGCCTGCGCGGACGAGGTCGGCCGGAGCCCGGCGTGCAGCCGAGCGGCGCGGGTGTGAAAAGACGCGCGCGCCCGTCGGGCCCCGACGCCGCGCACGCCGTCGTGCTCGGCGCTCACACGCTGACACGCACAAACTCATTAACAGCCGTAACCGAAAAATTCCTTTTTTTCCATTAACAGCCGCCATTAAAAGGCGAGATGAGCAGGCTGTTGCACGGAAGTCGTAATTAAAGTATTAATACTTGTAGTTACTATTCGGATGAGCGCGGGCCGCGGAGCTGGATCGGATCCAATTCCTCAGCCGAACCACCGCATGAAATTTGGTGAGTAGCTAAGCTGGCACGGCCGAAGCAGTTGGATGTGAATCATGGGGTAGCACTGGAGATCTCGCCGCACGGTGACGGTGCACGGGGACCTGTCGCAGCGTGACAACGAGAAGTCGAGAAGCCGCGGCCGGTACAGGTCGGCATCCGAGGTGGCCGAGTAAACGAAGGCTGTTGTCTGTTGTCCCATGGCGTTGGCGAGCCGGGGCGCGGTCGGTCTGATCGCTAGCGTCTGCGTGTGGGACCGGGCCCCGCTAGCAGACGGGAAGATTCCGCCTGGCTGGAGAGACGCCGTGTGCCCGTGCCGCGTTTTTTTTGTTGCGCTTGGAACAAACCAGGGCAGGTCGGTCGGCAGTGGGTTTAAAGAAGAATGTGTGTACGTGACGTTTAGTTGTTTTGACCTCTGCTAATAACTTAATTTTGTCCATGCACTTACGTTATTTTTTAGCTATATTTATACTGTTTTATTATTATATTTATATTGTTTTTTAATGTAATTTGTTGGATAGAGTGATATAATTTAGGGATAACATAACTTCTACAGATCTCAGATAAATATATGCTTAATTTTTCAAAAAAAAATTACAATTTTTTTTATGAATTATAAATACCAGAGAAATGTATTTTAAATTGTTTACAAATCTCAAAACAAAATTTTCCCAAATTACAGTGAGACCTACCTCCCCAACTTTATCTCTTCCCATCCCTTCCGTCACCTGCGCATTTCCCTTCCTTCCGTTACCCGCGCACGCAAACGGAGTTCAGAGAAGCGGCGGTGGTGGTTCGGCCTGGGGGCAGCCCTCCTCGTCGCCCTCCTCATAGCCGGCCGCCAGCCCCGCGCCGCGCCCGCTGGGGGCCGTGCGCCTGCCATGGCCAGGGCCACGAGCTCCGAGGCTGCGCGCGCCAGCTGGCTGGGCACACCTTGCCTGCTCGTCGTCCGCGCCCCCTGTTGGTCGTCCGCGCAAGATCCGATGGCCCAAAGATCGGTTGTTGAGAGAGACTAAATCAACCGGTTGAGATTTAGTAATTAATTCTGTTAAAGTAGCGTAGTGCTACTAGCAAAATATAGTGTATGACGCACAAAGTATCTAGACTAGATCACGACGTGTTTAAATCATGTGTGGGGTTGTTGTCCATTTTATTTATCCCTGCAATTTGCGTGTAGTACTCTCCTTGTGCTGTCGGAGTGGACTGTATCGATTCTTCGGTTGGATACGGAAGTGCGAACGGTTTGCGTGTACAGTAGTGTTTGAGTCAACAAGCGCTCTATTCGCTTGGGCTTGTTTGGCTGATAAGACAAGGCTGAAAATACTGTTGACTGATTTGGTGTGAGAAAAAAATACTATTTGTTAGCTAAAAAAATATGGCTTATAAGCCAAACAAGCTCAAGCGACCGGGGTGAAGAAATGCATGACAGAGGGCCGGTTCGTTGAGTGACAGATCTAATTCACATTCTTTTTCTACAGTGCAGTTCTTGATATATACCCTTCACTATCTTTGCACTTCAAAACAGAAAACAGCAGGCATTGTTTGGCTCCGGCCGGAAATTAAAAGAAGCAACCGCGCGCTATTGTATTCATCTTCTAGAGAAAAACAAAATATAAATAGATCATGAAGTGTCACTGGCGTGTCACAATGTGACGATGATGGCGTTACACTCGTCGAATGCTCCTCGTAACCGGCTGACTTGAATATGCCGCAATCGATTAGGTCAGGTTTCCAGATGGCGCTGATGTTTGGTGGGGCTTCGTTCGTTTATCCCGTATAGAAACTACTCCAGTAGACTAGACGCTACACGTGCATCGTACGTGTCCTCTGATGAAAGGGCCGCAAAATTACAAGTTTCAGCGGGACGTGGACGTGGTATTGCAATCTAAATCTATGCAACCTTAATTTAATTGATTATTAATTTTGGGTCGGAAATGACGAGTTCCCATCATATATTCATATATATTCAGCAAACCAACAAACGAATATCCCAGTGGTAGTTCATCAGATCTCATAACCAGCGACAGCCTGCTGAAAGCATGCAACGGAACGAAGCTGGAAATGGCGAGAGCAAAAAGAAAGATAACACAGCAGCAGAGTCGTGCCATGGCCCATGCGGTCCCTCAGAACATTTCAGGAAGCAAATAATGGATCTCGTAAGAACGCCGCGTCGTTTTGGCGTGACGATATGATTCGGGCGTGCGTCAGGCGACGCTGGCCGGAGTTGACGCCGGAAGCTCAGCGGCCTCCTCCGACGTCGGAGTTTCCGTCTCCTTGCCGTGATCAGCGTCTTCCTTGGCAACCTCCTCCTCCTTTTCCTTTGGTTCAGCTTCATCATGCTCTTTTTCTTCGACTGTCGTGGTCGTAGCTTCCTGCCACAGGAGGCAGTGTGAGACATGGCTCTCGCCGATATTTTCATGACAATATTTTTGTATTTTGAAATACATTTTGTTACTTTATTAGTCCTACAATAAAAACTAATATTTTAAGTTCAAAATTTGTCCTGGAATATAATTATATTCGGTTCCAAGCATGATTGAATATATGTGAGTGGATGAAAATATCCATATGCGACCAATAAATAAATACTCCCTTCATGTCCTTAAAGAAATTAATTTTGGAAATCGACACGGTCTCCACAAACAACTTTGACCGCTACTTTTTAATATAAAATATTTACTTACATCATTTTTTATAATTTCAAACCCAACCTAAAAAGATTTCTTTTAGTCAAAGTTTAAAATGTTTGACTTAAGACAACCTCAAAACGACTTCTTTTAGATCATGGAGGGAGTAACACACACATTACCATACATACATAGATCACGCGCGCATGGCTGGACAAGCTTAATGAAGTCATATCAGAACATTTATCCCTCTCCTTTATGTTTGGAAAACCTAAACGTAACTGTGTACCGGGATGGAGGAAATAGTTCTTTCATATTAGAACGTATATGTTGCTCCCTCAATCCTAAAATACAAGAATCCGAGTTTGTCTTAAATCAAGTTGTGTTAAGTTTGACTAAGTTCATAGAAAAGAATAATAATATTTAGGCCATCAAATTAGCATAATTGGTATATTATGAAATGTATTTTCATATTTTTACATCTTTAATGTGATAGATATTAGTACTCCTTTTAAAATTCGGTCAAAATTAGTATAGTTTGACTCAAACTTGGATCACTTATATTTCAGGTTGATGGAGGATATCTATATTAACAGTATTAAAGCAAGTCGTGGGTTCGCAAATGGAGCCTAGAAATTTTGAGATTAATCTAAAAAATAATATGCATCATAGGATTTTATAATGATCTAATGGTCTATACTGAACCAAAATTTTTATATCAAATATAAAAAAATCTAAAAATATCGGAAGAGAAGTATTCTGAAACATAAGTCATATGTATGAGAGAACTAGTGGAGGTCATAGTTGCACTTGGTGTGGTCACTGCAAGGTTTAGGTTTTTTTGGTGAGCAAATGAACAAGCCGGTGACTAACTAACTATGTCTGTTTGAATTCATCAAGCACATTAACAAATTCAGCCTCACAAAAATAAATAGCGGTACATATCCATCAAATCGTACATCTACAAGTTTACGATGAAATTATAATGCCAATAAAAATACCATAACAAGTCTAGCCACACTATTTGCGCAAGCCACCATGCTAGTTATTTTATACTAACATCAATCAAATCAAAAGGATAAAAAGTATTTAACGCCAATTAGCAACGAATCACGGCCCACGTACATGATTACTAAGACCATCACAGCACCTGACGACCTCCGTAAAATAGATACCATGGGCCAGTTCTTACAGAAAAGGCCGAAATGCAAGGGACCCAAGTTGCGGAAGCAGAGACATCTAGCCCAAACAAAATCTATCTTTTTTCCGTTCTTTTCTCAAAAAAATAAATATATAATACCCCAAATGCCTCTCAATTCTCAAACTTGTAATTTAAGAGCATCTCCACGAGACTCTCCATATCCTTCTTAAATGTTAAGAGTAGAGATTTTGATGAAAAACTACCCTCCAATAGCTTCTCTAGATGGTTATCCAAATATAACCATCTTCTGTACCGGATTTTTCGCTAGCCAAAAATAGAAGACGAGAATGACTCTCTAAAGTACGCATGAGATATAGAAGAACTGTTGTAGAATGTAAAGATATAAAAAGCGATTTTTATGCAAATGACTCTCCAAATGATGATTTAGAGATTAAGATTGTACCATTTATATTTATTCGACTAAATGATATTTGTGAGAGCAATTACGTTGCAGCAAACACTATTTATTCTTTAAGAATGCATGGATATATTGAAACAATAGCATATCTATAATTTTGATAGTTTATGGATGAAGCTATGTCTAAAATATAAAGTTTTCTTTTTAAATAGACAAAATTGAGTTGAAAATAAAAGTTAAATGCACTTTGATAGTTTATGGTTGAAAATGATCTCAAAGTGGAAAATTTGAGGACTGAAACGACCATCTTCATAGTTGTAGGATGAATTAAGTCTAAAATAGTTTGAGGACCCGTTTTAAAAGTTTAGGGATGAAATTGAGCCTCGAGTAACAGTGGAGGGACAAAATAGCTATTGTGCCCGATAACACAGGCGAAACAAACACCCCGTGGGGAAAGAAAAAAAATAAAAACCCATGTCTACTACTGCTGTGACTGATTGGTCTGCTCGTAGGATCTCGTCGCCGACTGGTATTGCTACGATCGGATTTGGATGCCGCAAACGAAGGACAAGCTATCAAGAGCACGTGACTTTCACGGAAGTTGGCCATGTCATACAAAAGCAATCCGACATACTGTATTTCAATTGGGATGGCGAACAGGGCCATTGTTTGAGTTATCGATAAAGCCGTGCGGGAGTTGAGATCATTTTTGCGCACCTCACTTTGTGGCGCCACAACGGCCTGGCTCGTCCCTTCCGGTTCCGGCGCCGCGACCTCCTCGTCTTTGCGCTCCCCCTCCGCGGCCGCCCCCGCCGCTGGCTGCGGCTCGATGGGCGGAGGTGGTGCGTCGTCTCCGTCGCTGGTCTTCGGCTTTGTCCCGCAGTTCCCCATCGCTTCCGCCCCTGCTCGCCTCTGCCACCGATGAGCCCAAGACAAGGAACAAGAGGTGAGAACGTTCGAAATGTTGCGGCGGAGGAGCTCAGAGAAGTACTATGTGAAATAGACGAAGGCGACCCCGTATAATAAGCAGCTGTGCTGATGCTGTGGTGCTCGATCGATCGATCAACACGAAATGGATGGCCGGTCAGTGCAGCTGGCCGAAGCTTTGGTATCAGCGATGAGTTTTTGGTTGTCTGTGTGATTGACATATGGCTGCCATCAAGATTACGACTCAGTGCAGCTGTTTAAGTTTAACATGTGTTGGTTTCAGGACATGCCAGGACAGGATGGTCCATCCTCGTTTTCTATTAGTGAAAAAGATAGATACTGAGGGCTCAGGCGCTCAACGATCGGTAGCTTAGTTTAACTGTGCAACATGGCAGATTAAGCTTCGGTGTTTGATGGGTTATAGTTTTGGTTGCAGTCCTTGGAAGATGATCAAGACAGCCTTACTCTTGCTGAAACTAGTTGGAACACGAGATTAGAAATGTTGTCTGTTTTGCTGTGGGCTAGAGTCACCACTGTGCCACTGTTTTAGAGTTCATCCTCTGCTTGGTTATTTCATTGCTGCACAGAGTGTTGTCTGCATTTACGAAGATCAGCACCAACCGTTTTGGTGGTGACTTTGCATCAGTAGCAGTGGCGAACCCGCGATCGCGATCGCTGGCCAGTGGTGCGTATAGCAAATGTGAGAAATTAGGCTTCGTTTTGCACACAAGAAAAACCCATGTTAAATTCATGTGCGGTTCTTGCCATCCAAATGGGCTTCTGTGAATCCGAGGTTCAATTCGCAGGGTAAACTATCACCACGGCATCGGCATCACAGTTCACACGTATGACAGCAGCCGAGGTAGTTGAAACCTCAAGCTTTGAACCGAGCATGCATGCATACGTCAACGTTTCATACTTTTGTACAACAAACTCCTCACATTTATTAGGCTGAGAGACGAACAAAATACAAATCTCGGCTACCTATTCAGTTTCGTCGTAAACAATTGTGGATTATTTATTGCTGGCTGATTTGATGTGAAAGAAAAATATTATTCTAACTTATAATTCACGATCGTATACGAGCAAGCGAACGTACTGATACATCAGCGTTTTTGGTCGAAGAAGTTGTCGCGAACGTATCGACGAAGCCTCTCGAGAGCATCTTGCGCATTCAGAGCGATGAGCTCGCCTGTCCTCCAGAAGAAGACGTAGGCGCACACGTAGAGACCCGCGAAGATTTGGTACGCCATGCTGCGCTCCCCTGGGGCTGTTTTGCGTTCTGCCGCGGCCTCCTCCTCCTCGCCTTGCTTCGCCGGCGCCTGCTGGGGCTCGCGCTCCGCTTCGTCGCGCGCCTTCGTCCTCGGCGCCAGGCACGAGCAGCGCCCCATCCCCCGCACGCTGCCGGGCGCAGGCAGCGGCGCCCACGAATGGCTGATGCGGGGGAGGAGCGGTCGGAGCCCGTAGGACGACGCTCTGTTCGGAACTGTAGCCTTCGCTGCGTGTGCGATGGGCTTCAGGGGGTTCAGGGCAAGGCCGGCCGGCCGCCGAGCGACGGGCCTCAGCTGCATGCCTGCATATCAATTCAGCGGAACGGAGTGGTGTGTGTGCGCGACGGAGGCGCGCGGAGCATGGCACAACCGCACAAGGTGTCCGCCCGGCGTCGGTCCTGACTTATCAGCGCGCTGACGTTTTATAGGCCGTGCTTGAAGGAAAGCGCGAAATCGGCGTCGGCGATCGCCCTGGCGAAGCATTGGTGTTTACGACGGGCAGTTTTGTTGGCATGGATGTAGAAGGGCATGTTTGGAATCCTTGCTGCGGCTCGTCTCGCCTCGTCGGGCAAGTCAAGCCGTTTGGTTGTCGCTTGCCTCGCCTGATTGCCCGGCAAGCTTGCTCGCTTGGGCAAGAAAATCCTTACCAGTGTAGGCGAACCAAATCAGCTCTCCTGCATGGGCAAGGTCGGCTCGCCCGCTCGTGAGTGGCCTCTGGCGCTGCCGAATCAGACTCCCCGACCACCGATTCGCCTCCACGGTCATCGAATCGAACTCGCCTATTACCAAATCAGCCTTCGCCGTCACCAAATAGGACTTCGATGCCACCGAAACGACCTCCGTAAGTGCCAAATCGACTTCCACCATCGCCGATTTGGACTCCACAGCCGCGGAATCGGCGCCCCCTATCCCGGAATCAGCCTCCCCCGCTGATGGTTGGACGTTCCTGGTGTTGAATTGACATCCAACGTCACTGATTTGGCCTCCGCTCAAGCTACAGTGCGAAACGCCTTGGAAGATAGTTTTGCCAGCAGACTGGGTGAGGTGAGGTGAGCGAGCTAGGTGAGGTAAGCGCAGCAAAGGTACCAAGCACGCCCCAAAATACCAATATACCATGAGTCCATGAACTGGTCGTTGGCGTGTGAATGTTTGGAGTTATTCCTAGATTATGTATGCTCGCGTAGTTTTTGGCCAAGGTCACGACTCACTTTATGCTAACTTTTAACATATAGCTCATAACATGAATAGCCTCACATAACACTCTCACATGATCTTAAGATGTGTGTATGAGCTTAGCTCTTAATCAAGAGCTAGCTTTCTATCTATTCTATTAAAATATGAAATAATTTTTTTCGAGCTAGCTTATAAGTCACCATTGCGGGTGCCTTTAGTGTTTTGGGCAGGAGCTTCCGTTGGTGGCAGATCATCCTTCACCATGGTAACTTCCTCTAGGGTAGGATGTATGTAGAATAAAAATTGAAAAAAGTTGACTTCTTCGAAAACTTTAGGCATTGAAGACATGTTCCTTTTAAGAATTTTATTTCGGTATCTTTTCTATTGGATGCATTTACTTGTAAGCACATTTCTCATATAATTATCTCTACTCTACTACTAAATCGACGATACTGGAACCATCAACAACACTTGAGCTTGCCCTAGCCTTCCCGCGTACGGATTTCAAAACACCTCCCCACCTTGGCACCTTCTATCCGAAACCGAAAACCAGCTCCCCCACCGCCACATTGCCACTTTCCTTGCCATATCCACCATCCAAGCAAGATTGAAGGATGCAGTATTTTCAGCCTGGGTCGGCTTCTCTTCTCAAAGGGTGTGGTAGCACGACTCCTCTCGCGCGTGCCGCCGTCGCCACTCCTGAAATGCGGTGCCTTAGGTATCAGCAGCCATTGAGTCTAACGTCGTTTCCTGATTGGTTTCTTTTTCTGACATGTCATGTCCTTTTTGTAGGCTTTTCTAGTTTAGGTCCCCACCCTATCAACTATACTTTTGCCTCGCTTATCAAATCTGCCTGACTTTTTTGCCTGGAATGTCTGAAAGTCCTAGTTTGATTTTGGATAATTGATAAAACCCTAGGACTAACCTATGATCTAAGTATGTGAATTAGATAAGGTAGTCCAATCCAAGTGTTGGAGCTCGATGATGGTCATGAAGAAGGTGATGGCCACAAATAAGATGATCAAGTGCTCCAACTTGAAAAAGAAGAAAGACAAAAACAAAAACCAAGGAGATCAATGTAAAGGTATAAGATACATTTTTGTTTTGGCACTTAACACGCCATAGAGGGTGTAAGTACGTTTAGGGTCGATAGCCGTACTATAAAGAGGAAAAATCTTTGGCTAAGCGGTTATCGAGTGCCACTAGGTGACATGATTCTTGCATATGCATTTAGGAACCTAGTGTGTCAACTTTGACCCTTGTAAAATATTTTGAAAAATGCTAACACACGTGCACACAAGTTCTACACCTTGTGATTAGCAAATTGGAAGCAAGGGGCGAAGTGGTTGTGGTCTTAGAAAAAGAAAAGGAGGAGAAGGCACGCGACCGGACTCTGGCGTCGGGGTGACCGGACTCACCCTGGGCGCGTCCAGTCAATTTTAGCCGTGGAGGTGCTGTGTTGGCCGAGGTCAAGGAAAAGCGATCGGACGCTGGCCTCGGACGCGTGCGGTGCGTCCGGTCATGTGGTGCAGTGAAGGCGTGGCGCGGCTTGGCGATCGGACGCTGGCGGCAGCGTGCGACCGGACGCGTAGGGGCTGCGTCAGGTCATGGCTGACGTACGTTGGCGTCAGCCTTGCGGGGGCGCGCAGCAGAGCGAAAGTGCTGACCAGACTCAGGGGCATGTCCGGTCACTTGTGACTTGATGCGTCCGGTCATTTAAAACCGACTCTGGAACCTTTATGTTCGTGATCTGACGCTCGGTGGTTCAGGGTCCGGTCGTTCTAGCGTTGAGTCCGGTCGTTACTTAACGTTTCGCGCGACTGAGAGATGACCGTTGAGAGTGAACGTGTAGAATTTAAAGGCGTGACACATGGACGGACAGGGCCGATCGGACGTAGCCAGCCAGACGCCGGGGTGCATTCGGTCAGGTGAGTCCGGTCGCACCTACACAGGACTAACGACTCTATTTCGTGAGGCCGTCTATAAATAATGTTTGGCCGACTTAGGGCTCACTCTCTTGGCACTTTGGCATTTTTGACATCCTTGTGAGCCTAACCAAACATCGTCCACTCATCTCCATCATTGATTCATCATCATAGTGAGATTGGGAGTGATTCCAAATGCATTTGCTTGAGTGATTGCATCTAGTGGCACATGGGGATCGTTGTGGCTGAGGATTTCTTGTTTCTCTTGGTGGCTGCTGCCACCTAGATGGCTTGGAGCAGCGGAGGAGTATCAGCACAAGTTGGTGATTGTTCGTGGGCGTCTCCTGGTGATTGTGAGGGGTCTTATGTCTTTCCCGGCAGAGCGCCAAAGGCAACTCTAGTAAATTGCTCGTGTCATTGAGCTACGTCACTTGTGAGTAGGTTCTTACGGCGTCATTTGTTGGCTAGGTGTGTGATACCTATTAGCCGCGGAACCACCAAATGTTGGTCGACACAACGGAGACTAGCGTGCCGGCAAGCACATGAACCTCGGGAGAAAAATCTTGTGTCCCTTGTGTGATTGGAATTCTCCCGA